ATTCTTGTTTAAGAAATAGAATTAATTGGTCAACCATGGAAAAAAACCAATTTTGAGGTCTTCCATTATGACGCCGGTTTGTTTTGCGATGATTTTTAATCAACAACTTGTCAGTGTTTAACAGCTGTTCAGCTTGCAGTGAGAGAAGTCTTGAACAAGACATTATTGCTATTAGTTTTTTTAAACTTTAATTCAACAGTGGCTAACAAATACTTAATTACTCATTTCAAAATGGATAAAGGTAGCTTGTAGACAATTTCCTTGTAAAATAAATTCATATTTGGTATATTGTTCAGTTTCGAAAAAATTCTTTCCTATTATTGGTTTTCACGAGAAAGTGGCCAAGAAATGTACAAAACCAGCAACAACAAAACAAAACTAGAGGTTAAAATTTCTTTGTATGAATATGCTTTTAATGATAAATAAATTTTTCATCGTTTTGTGTTACTCAATTTTTTTTTTATCATTACGATTATTTCATTAGTTGCGAAATAACGAATGTTGGAATTAAAATGGGTGTTTTTCATCGCAGACCGACCTTGTGGGAAGGGAACAGATAAATAGCTGACCGTGATAAATACGCGGTGTGATTGGTGAGAAAGTCTTACGTTATCGGTAGTTTGATCGAGAAAAAGTTAATCGTTTCCACCAAAATAATAAAATTTGTCCCAGGTTGGATATGAAGTCTGCCGATTTAAATCACAAAATTCTAAGCTTATTCGTCCGCTTATTCGTTGGAAACAGGCTTAACAATTACCGCCAACTACTTTTAATTAATTTCTTCGCCAAATTGTCACATTTACAGGAAAAAGAAAATACAGACATATGTCGGTTATTATTAGTAGTATTCCGAGAGTAAGTGTTAACTTGCGAAACAATAGCGACTACCAAAAGGTAAACGCCAGATGAATAAAGTGACTGCTCTCTCAGACTTCATCAGCGGCTTAATCACAAAGTTTTGATTTTCGCCGATTGAATGACTGAGAAAAAGGTGCCATGTCCCCGATGTTTTTTTTTTTTTTTTAAGGCTCTTTTTCGTATTTCTAAAGCCGGTGAGCCGAGTAACGATAGAGAGCAAGAAGCTAAGTGAGAAGGCCAGACTCCTATTTTTAGATAAGCGTATCGAATATTACTTTTCTGTTCCTAAGCCAACACGAGGAGGTGAATAACATTAACAGAGCTTCTTAAAAGATCATAGAAACTTGTTTCAGACCTTTCTTCACAGTTTGCGTCTATCTATGTTTGTGTAAATTAGTTCTAAATGGTTCACCATACATCTCATGACAATTATAAGCTAGAATCCTTCGCAAAGGGTGAAGTTAACTGCTCATCTGACATTTCGATTTCGTTTTGCACATTCAAGAACTATTTTAAGGTACACTGGAATAAAATTAACAATACACGCATAGTGATTTTGATTCATCAGACCTTTTTTACAATCTGAAATTAAATCGGTTTTCTGAATTTGCATCAAGCTGTTGTCGCGTTCTACTAAAGAATCCGTTGAACTAATTATAATGCCATCAGGGTCCGTTTTCATGAAAAACAAAGGCGTGCTACTGAAAGTCTAGTATGTACAGTTTCAGCTACTTGGCAGTCGATGCAATGGGAGAAAATACGCAAAAGTTTTGTTTTGCTTCCGTATATTTAAAAAGTTGTAATGGCCAGCAGTAAGTTACGCATCTGCTGTGTTCATTAGTCGGCTTAATTGTCTTATAACATGAAATTATCGGTGTCGGAAATTTTTTTGTGTGTGTGCGATAAGGGTTCGGAAAATTCGATGAGGCAAAAAGAAAAAAAAAAAATAGATAAATAAAAGAAGTGGCTAGTTTTTCTTTTAAGAACTCTTTAACAAGTTTTCTAACATAGTGATATTTAAGCGGGGAAACATTGTCTTTCCAAAGTCATAACATAGCAAAATTTTCACGCAATAAAGAAGTTTAGATCTTTTATAAGCGTTTTCGTCTAATCGAAGTCAAATGAACACAAAATAATCACAGTTTCACTTTATTAAGCGACGTGATCGTTTCTGCACGTGCAATTGAGACCTTGCACGCCCAGAAAGGAAAAGTGCTCCTCGAACTGAAACGGTACAATCCCGATACTTCCAGACTATTATAGGCTTCGCAAAGACACCTTATAGAGCACCATTGTAAAGAGACAGAACAGGCGGGGATAGCTTTATGTAAAACGAATCTAAATAATATAAAGATGCCTGTTCGCTCCCGATCACAACATTTATTGTTACTATATTAAAGCGAGATTTAGCTTCCCATTTTGTCTTCCGTATTGTTGGTCGGTCTCATCCCAACTTGCAAACCTTTGGAAATTTAAGAAATTCCTGAGTTTCTCAGAAAACGCATATATTTAACTGCAGTAAGCTGTGCATGTCCGTGTCTATCGTAATAGATTATGGCCAACAGAACTTAAAAAAATAAATATTAAAACCAAGCTTGCAGTAAAATCGTTAGTCATTTCTGGATAGTGCTAAATCTACTCTGTTACGAATAACACCAGGTCACTAAAGAAAGAAGTAAAGATAAATGGCGTAAAATTATCTTGAGACAAATGCGGCTTTCTTCAAAATGGCCATTAACGAGAAATGGAAATGTAAGAGATANTTGAGCTGATGAAGAACCTGAAGCCTCATCCTCACGTGATCAAGTTGATAGGATGTGCTACTGAGTCAGGTAAAGAAAATCCTTTTAAAATAATGTCACGTGCATAGGTAAATCAATAAACAGACTCAACTGGCCCAATGAATATTTATCGCGTCTAGTTGTTGTTAGTTTTTAACTTCACACAGCTTGTTATCTAATTCCTCCATTCATTAAGTTTAATAACGGGAAAGTATGATTCTTTGCAGTTCACGGAGATTGTTGATTGACTGATAGATTGATTGATCGTGTTCTTTTACTTCACATGATGGTAGTATTTTCTTTCATTTTAGATCCGTTACTGGTCCTTATTGAGTATGTACCGTACGGTGATCTGTTAGGTTATTTGAGGAAGAGTCGTGGGCTCAGTGACACGTATTTTAATAACCCGGATAGAAAGCCGGAAACCAACCTAACTTCAAAGCAGTTGATGAGGTTTGCATGGCAGATAGCTGACGGGATGGCTTATTTGTCGTCAAGAAAGGTGATAATAATGGCAAGTTCATTGACTTTTAATAAAAGGTAAGAGGAGAGATTTAAAAAATGAATTGATCAAGAAGTTAAGCTCTAAAAGATTTTTAAACACATCATCTAAAAAAGCAAACAACGTTTCAGTGCTACGTTACGTCATTATCAAGTTAAAAAGCGAAAGGGTATAAGGTGTAATACAAATATATGAAAATATGAAACAATGCATAAAATGTTTGCTACACCATCTGTTTGTTCATACAATTCGCCGTTGAATTGAAATGAATAGCTGGTTCAAAGTAGCGTTCTCTAATAGATCCGTCAGTTGATGCTTTTGGAGTTGCATGCTATGCGTCTTATTAAACCAGTCACCCTCAAAAGCTTTGTCGACAAGAATGTCAATAGTTTCTTTTAAAGGAACATTGGTGAATAATGCGGGCACATCATAGGAGACAAGGATATNCCAAGCTAACTTCAAAGCAGTTGATGAGGTTTGCATGGCAGATAGCTGATGGGATGGCTTACTTGTCGTCAAGAAAGGTGATAATAATGGCAAGTTCACTGACTTTTAATAAAAGGTGAAAAGGGATCATTCCAGTGGAAAGTCCTTTGTTCGGCAAGATTCCACTTCAAGGGAAAGATTATTGTGGGACTAATTATCCTACAAAACAGTCCAACTTTGAACAAGCAAATCAGTTGCTATGTTGCGCAGTTTTACCCTCCGGGAATAACGTGAGTAGCAACACCATGCAAAATCTCCGACGGCTTTAACCCTGATTATGAGAATAACTCGGAAACATGCGGTTTATAATAATTTTTCTTTTCCAGGTTTTAGCCTTGGATTCATATCATTTTACCCCTTTTAGCAAATGTTATGTTAACAGGTCAAATAACCATCAATGATAATGTCAGCCATTGTATGTTTCTTCCAGATAATCCATCGTGACTTGGCGGCCAGAAATNAAGGTGAAAAGGGATCATTCCAGTGGAAAGTCCTTTGTTCGGCAAGATTCCACTTCAAGGGAAAGATTATTGTGGGACTAATTATCCTACAAAACAGTCCAACTTTGAACAAGCAAATCAAGTGCTATGTTGCGCAGTTTTACCCTCGGGGAGTAACGTTAGTAGCACTGAACACCATGCAAAATCTCCGACGGCTTTAACCCTGATGATGAGAATAACTCGGAAACGTGCGGTTTATAATAATTTTTCTTTTCCAGGGTTTAGCCTTATATTCATATCATTTTACCACTTTAAGCAAATGTCATGTCAACAGGTCAAATGACCATCAATGATAATGTCAGCCATTGTATGTTTCTTCCAGATAATCCATCGTGACTTGGCGGCCAGAAATGTTCTTGTTGGTGAAGGAGAGAAATGTAAGGTGACAGATTTTGGGATGGCGAGGAATGTTCAGCAGGATGATATTTACACCAAACAAAGTCGAGTGAGTATCATAGATTTACTGAGCTTCCCAAAATAGTTATCTGAGGAAGTTTCTCTTGTAAAGTCTACCATAGGATAATGCGAAGAAATCTAGTAAGGACATTTATCTTCCAGGGCCGGTTGCCTGTTAAGTGGACTGCTTATGAAGCTTTGTTATATGGAACATACACGACGCAAAGTGACGTGTAAGTATTACAAACGATCTGTGATAGAGTGATTGATGCAAAATTTGTTCAGTCACCTTTGAAAAGCTTACTGAGAAGGAGCGACCTATGTTTACTGAACATTGCAAAATACAATACAACCATTAAGTACAGAGTTTTTTGTGGTGTGTAAGACCTCCAGGGATGAGAAGCGTAAAGACAGAGAGTAGCGTTTGAACCCTGTTTCTACCCTCGTGTTTTCTCTCTAGACTCAACCCTCCCATTTCTCCTCCCGCCGAACTCTACTGTTATAACAACTTACTTAAATAATGTCGTTCTCTTATCCTTTCTCTCAGTTGGAGTTATGGTGTCCTACTTTACGAGATTCTCACCATAGGTAAGTTTCGTCCCACATCACGCAAATTATAAAATTTATACCATGTACCTTGAAAGCCACCATGTTACCATCATTATTATATCCAGGTGGATCTCCATATCACACATACATTTGGTAAAGTTTTCCTATCAAAATGCATTACTGAAGTGGAAGAAAAAAATATTCTCACCAGACGTAGGTTTCGTCACACATCATGTAAATTTATAAATTTATCAGATTATTTACGTTGCTTCCATCGTCATATCCAGGTGGATCTCCATATCCAGGAGTAAACGCTCGACAAATCGCCAGGAAACTTCAGGAAGGATTCAGAATGCCAAAACCTAAACATGTGGATAACAAACTGTAAATACATTTAAACCAATCTCGAGTTGATAACATTTTTGCATGAGTGTTACTACGAGAATACATTTTGTATTTTACAATTCATTAATCTTGTTGAGTGCTTAAAGCAATTCTNCCTTTCTCTCAGTTGGAGTTATGGTGTCCTACTTTACGAGATTCTCACCATAGGTAAGTTTCGTCCCACATCACGCAAATTATAAAATTTATACCATGTACCTTGAAAGCCACCATGTTATCATCATTATTATATCTAGGTGGTTCTCCATATCACAGATACATTTGGTAAAGTTTTCCTACCAAAATGCATTACTGCCTGTGGAAGAAAAAAATATTCTCACCAGACTTAGGTTTCGTCACACATCATGTAAATTTATAAATTTATTAGATTTACTTACATTGCGTCCATCGTCATATCCAGGTGGATCTCCATATCCAGGAGTAAACGCTCGACAAATCGCAACAAAACTTCAGGAAGGATTCAGAATGCCAAAGCCTAAACATGTGGATAACAAACTGTAAATACATTTAAACCAATCTCGAGTTGATAACATTTTTGCATGAGTGTTACTACGAGAATACATTTTGTATTTTACAATTCATTAATCTTGTTGAGTGCTTAAAGCAATTCTACTGACATTGTATATATACGTATTTAACACCCTCGTACTGTTTTCGTGTCTGTGTTAGTATGCGCTTGTGTAGGCTGTTCTCTTTTGCCAGCCGTTATGTATAATACTACCCGAGACACTGTCTTCTAGTATTGTCGAAATCTTTCGTATAGTTGTAGCTCTTATTGCAGTTGAGCCTGCGGTCAAATATTCCTTTGTTTAAAAAGGCATACAAACGAGACGAAAGGGTCAATACAAAGCAAAATCGACCCTTTCGCCTCGTTTGGAAGTCAAACCGCTAATAACTTTAATAACAGCTTTTGCACCTTTTCCATAGTCTAGACAGTCTTGGTATGTTTTCGCTGGTGTATTCTTCAGGTTTGCGATTACTCCACCGGCCTAGTAATGCTATGTGCTACTATTGATAATAATTACAAACGTATGTTCTGCATTTAATACCTACCTCGAATTGAAAGTTATAGTGAAGAAGTACCATAATCCTCACATATTATTAGTCCGTTGATATATTGACTGATTTAATAATATTTGCAAACTTTTTCTTTTTGTGGCTACTGATGATTCTGCTTGTTAGTTACCAGATTATGCTGTGGTGTTGGGAACAGAACCCTACTGATCGACCAACGTTTGCCAAACTAAAAGAAACTATGAAACAAATGGAGAGAAACCACAAGGTGTTTGTTACTTGTCATATATCTTCAGTAGCACGAATCTGAATGTTCGTCCTGTACCTTTTATGTCTGGCTGTGACCCAGTTTCAGCGAAATGTAGTTTTAACTGAGGAAACAATAAATGTCTTAGCTGAGGCGTAGACAACAATTACTGAACAATGATTATTACATTGTTATTTTAAGGTGCTATGGCCATTTGGAAGTATGTAGCCACGCCTCTTAAAAATGTACTATCAGGGGTGCTGTTTAGCGTCATAACGGAGCTAAACTGTGACAAATATCGAAAGGAATTGTAGAGCAAAGGAATAGAGGAAGCAACTGTAATATTAGCCTCTAAATTTGACATGAAACCCATGTACATTCATATGTCACGATAATATTCTTTTAATAGTTTTAATGCACTATTATGGTAATTGGCACAAAAACTAAACCATTTAAAATCTCAAAGACCTTTTTAAGCTGTGATCAAACTTGGTTTCAAAAGCGACAATGCACTAGCATAGTGATATTTTAAACAAACGCAACGAAACTCGACTATGATTTTAGGTTTTTGTTTATTGAGGTAATGTCATGCATATATATGTATAATGTCGTTTGACGGTTAAATGTATTATAAATGTTAAATCATTATTTATATGTAATGTCATTTGACGGTTTACTGTTCAATGTGCATTATAATGCTACTTTACATATTTAGGTAATTTGAAATTCCTGGCCTTATAGTTGTCCTTCGTCCCTATTTTGTTCCTGCTTTCGCTTTCTTCAGTTTTCCTGTCATTAAACAGACTTTTTGAGAGACGTACATCGCGTGATTTCTGTTTGCAAAGTCATAGCTAACCAGTGACTTATGTTTCTGTTTCAGACCTACGTCAATCTCAAAGAATATGACAACAGTTTGTACGCAAACACAGAGGATCTCATAGCTGAATAACTCTCGCACCGATGAAAGAGGAGAGATTTAAAAAATGAATTGATCAAGAAGTTAAACGCTAAAAGATTTTTAAACACATCATCTAAAAAAGCGAACAACGTTTCGGTGCTACGTTACGTCATTATCAAGTTAAAAAGCGAAAGGGTATAAGGTGTAATACGAATATATGAAAATATGAAACAATGCATAAAATGTTTGCTACACCATCTGTTTGTTCATACAATTCGCCGTTGAATTGAAATGAATAGCTGGTTCGAAGTAGCGTTCTCTAATAGATCCGTCAGTTGATGCTTTTGGAGTTGCATGCTATGCGTCTTATTAAACCAGTCACCCTCAAAAGCTTTGTCGACGAGAATGTCAATAGTTTCTTTTAAAGGAACATTGGTGAATAATGCGGGCACATCATAGGAGACAAGGATATGGTTAGGCTCGATGCTAGTGTT